ATTCTTACTTTACAGCATTTTTTCACACCTGCCTAAAACTTTTGCACAGTACTATATGTCTTCTAATATAAAAATAATGTACTGGGTTGGGTCTCTTTCCTGAAAGGTATTTCCTGGAAAAGAGGAAGAAATTCTGGTATTTGCTCAGAGGAATTTGTTTTTAGGAGCCAGATCTTTTTCAAGCTAAGACCCAACAGCCTATGGTAGTTTGATCTCCTTATGTGCTACTTTGATAATAGGATTATTTTAAACTTTCTCATACGGAGAATGTTTGCATCTTTCTGTGTTTTTGGATCAGCTACCTACAAACCGTATCTGCATAGGCAAGTTAGTTCTGTGTAATTAATTCTATAGCTACTCTTTTCCCAAACAGATGAAAAAGTGTTGATGCAGAACACCAATTCCAGTTCCAAATACATGATCAAAGGGGGCAAAAGTCAGCATTAGTCATTGCAGTAATTAAATAACAACATGAACCTATGTATGCATATTTAGAAAAAATGTGAATTTCAGTCAGTGGATCTTATTCCTAGATGTGTATAAAATTGAAGAGTTATAATATCCACTTAGGAGTAAAATATGTTTGCATCCTGATCTATCTGGTATCCTCTAGATGTGTTGGATTACTTCTGTCTTGTCTGACAGCCAGCAGTAGTCTAATACAGCTACAGCTTACCAGATTGGAAAGCTGTTTTAAGGCCACTGCTTCAGTTAATTTACTTGTTGTTTAAAGTGCATTGTAACTTGATGTTATTTCATATTTGAAATGATTGGCCACATTTTAAACATATCTTGTATTTTTCTTATGTAACTATGCAAATACATCATAGCAGGTGGCAGCATCTAAGTCACCTTGGATGATCCCAAAAAAGCCAAACACTGTAAGACACTGTTAGCACAGGTAGTCCTCGTTTATCGATTGCCTCATTTCATCACTGTTACCAGTTACAATGGAGATGAAAAAGTAACTTTACAATCAATCCTTGCATTTATGACCTTCACAGGTCTGTAAGGCAAAGGAAAGCTGAAGTAAGATCATAAGCACAGTCACAGTTTCACTTAGCAATCGCTTCACTTAATGACTTAGTTGCTGGTCCCAATTGTGGTAGCTAAACAAGGACTACCTGTACTTGGATGGGTGATCCCACAAAAAACCATGATGACCGCTAGGTGGCAACAGAAGAGTCAGTATAGGCTGGGTTGACATGATATATTCAGCTAAAATGGAGTTAGCTAGTTTGTGGTTTCATGTGTTGTGGCCTTCTCAGGTACTTCTCACCCTCTCTTTACTAACTACACTAAAGCCATTAATTCTAATTTCCCAGGGAAGAAAAGAAAGAACAGCAACATGGGCTGAGGAACTATTATTTCCATTAATTGATGGTCTTACCTTCAGTAAGAAGAAGCTAGAAGCTTCCAGCAAAGCCCACCATTCAAGAGCAGCCACTTTGGATTAGGGTTTCTCAATCTGGGCTGCAAAAATCCAGACAACCATCAAGCATTTATTCAAATGAACTTAAGCCTCTTTTTAAC